GGGAGGCGGGCGGCGGGACGGCCCAGACGCCCCGCGGCTGTCCCGCTGCTGGCGTCCTCAGAGGCTTTGCTTCCCATCTCCCTGGTCTGCTGGTTTCCAGCAGACCAGGGAGACGGGCAGCAAACCCCGTTCGTAACTGCGGAGCCGACGTAAGTCGGATCCGCGTAACTCGGGAACTGCCTGTATAAGTGGAGCTGCTGGTGGTGATGCTGTAGATAAGATTGCAGAATACTTTCCACTTAAGATTGCGGTCAGGTGCTTATAACTTGGCCAAACTTTAATTGATTAGTTTGAAACTTTCCATGCCATGTGTCTTCCTCTGGCTGCAATTGTTTTGGGAAGCTTCAGCAAAAAAAATTTAACCATTTCTGAAAATAAGAATATCAGGAAGTGTTTTTTATAAATGTTAAATTACTGTAAGCGTTTTGTTGAGGAACTTTCTAGCACATACATCCATAAGTTAGATCAGATACTTGACATTTAGGAAGAATTTAACTTGGAGCCTTTGAAAGATGCCAACTGCATGTGTTCAGCAGAGGATTTTTAGATGTTGATATCTAATTTCTCAAACATTTCATTTGCACTAAGCATGTTCTAGCTCAGGGCTGCAAAGATTGAGCAGGACTCTTCCTGGAGTTACTGCTCCTGGCATCAGATCAAGGAGACTGTCATTTCAGTTTTCTTATTGCTACCTGTATTGCTGGCCAGGTAACATGGAGATGGAAGAGGCAAACTGATTAGAGAAGTGATATGTTAGGACAGAAATGTGAGTAACCATTACAGCACACTCTGCTCCATAATGTAGAATAGAACCCAGGATTCTTCTTTAAGTACATATCACTGTAGTTGCATGCATGCTTTTTGTGTGTGAGCTTAGAATCTTTTGTTGACCAGTATCCAGTGGGACCACACCTTCCACATAATGCAGTGTTATATGAGGAAATAAAGATTACAGCAGAGTGGCACCAGCCCTCCCGCTGACCATTTGTGGCAATCAGACAGAACCTAGACTGTGTCCAGCCTGCTTCTGATATCCAGAACTTTTTCCCATAGAGAACTGTAATTTTCATCTTCCCTTTTTATTTTCTTGGGCAGTCCCTTCACAAAGAAAGAAATAAGTGTTTAGAACAGACAAGGGGGCATTCTCTTGTACAGTGGGGCAAAATGCTTTACCCCAGAAGCTAGCTATCGCAGATTCTAAACTTCAAGTAGTGTCCCCGTGAATGTTCCACTGTAGGTGTCAGGCTTGTCCCGGTGCTGCAGATCGGAGATCTTTATAGCAGCAGTCTGCTGGACAGGACAGTGCATGTGCGTTGGCCGTCTCATGCCGTTCACTCCATTTTTCTGATCATTCGCAGTCCAGCTCCCACCAGTTCCTCCTGACCATCCTCGTCACAGACGCTAGCTCTATCTCGCGTTCAATCCTGTCAGGAATTGAGACAAATCAGATGGTAAATAGTTGAAAGTTAATAGGTGTGTGTTAGTTTACTCATAGTTCGTAGTTCGGGTTTTTACTAGTTGTATACCTTCGTTTAAAAAATATACATGTTCCACCGTTTACTACTTGAGCCATGCCGGGTTTCAAAAAATGTGGCACATTCCGCCAGCCGATGCCCACATCAGATGGACACTCTTACCGTACAAGATCTGGGTGAGGGACGTATCCCTCAGAAATATCCCCACTTCTCCAAGCTCACGGCTCAAGCTAGGCAGGACAGGGAAATTAGGCTGAAAATGCGTCTCTTCAACAAGGCACTTGAGTTGCTGCCGACTGACTCTTCCCACTCTTCTAAATTTCTGGCGGTTGCCAGACATTGGCCTTCTTCACCAAAGCCCACCCGTACAAAAAGGAGACCACCTCCCTCACACTCCCTACCTCCAACACAGGTTAGCACAGGAGACAAGCCAGGCACTTCGGGCGTGGCTCCTATCTGCTGGCCCAACAAACAAACGAGCCTGAATCACGTCGGCACCCAGTCTGGCACGGACGATGCACGTGGCACCAGTATCTGGAGCAGAAACCAGACGGGCACCGAGAGACCTGGTACCTACTTCAGCACCAATGACACAGTCGGCGCCGACAGCTCCACCTATGGCACTGGTCGCTATGGCACCAGCACCACAGCCAGTACCGGCACACCACCTAGCGACGGCACTGGCATTTCACAAGAATGCGCAGCTGGCACCGGTATCTGTCAACACCTGCATTGTCACTGCACCGACACTTTGGGTGGTGCTGGAGAGTATGCCAGAAGACTTGTGCACTGCCTGCTCCATCACCAACTCCCGAATGTGCCTCTTTCACTAGAATTACCTTCACCATCTCGGGTTCGCTCACCTCATCCTGGACATTCTTCGTAAACAAAGCTTTAAGATGGTGACTTTAGCAACTATCATCCCAGCACTGGACTAGGGAGATTGGTTTGCGTCCCTCGACCTACAGGACACCTACTTTGATGTGACTATCCACCTGGCACACAGTTGCTTCCTACGCTGCTTAGTGGGATCTGAGCACTTTTGGTACCAAGTTCTACCATTCAGACTTTCTTCAGCTCCCAGGGTTTTCTCAAAGACACTCGCAGTAGTAGCAGCATTTTTAAGACAGTCGGGAATCATCGTATTTCCCTACCTAGATGACTGTCTGCTTAGAGCCTCCTCATTCGACAAAGGCCTTTGTGCTACCAACATGAGGGCAGTATTCGAGGCACTCACTATAATCAACGTTCCAAAGTCATCCATGACACCGCAGCAATCCCTAGAATTCATAGGTGCACGCCTCGATTCTACCATGGTGCGCGCATACTTCCCCACAACCAAGTTATAGAGTATCCAAGACCTCATGCAAGTTCTCTCCACCAGTCCCATAACTCCTATACTTGCCTGTCTACAACTCATGGAATACAGGGCAGCTACGACCTACATCATGGCATATGCAAGACTACCCCTCAAGTGCCTTCAGCATTGGATAGCCATGGTGTGTACGCCAAACAGGCATGACGTTCACAGGATGGTAGTAGTACCTCGTCATGTCAAAGAATCGTTAACATGGTGGACCATCCTCGACAATATGTTGGGTGGAGTACCCTTTCACTGACCTCAACCAACTATACAGGTCATGACCGACGCATCCTTGCTTAGCTGGGGCGCCCATTTACAGAACCATCAGATTCAAGGAGTCCTTACAGCACATCATATTCCTCAAACTGAGGGCCGTCTTCAACACTTGCAAACATTTTCTCCTTCTTATTTGTGGCTGTGTTGTGTGTTCTCACCAACAATATGATGGTATATTATATAAACAGACAGGAAGGGGCTCAGTACCCTTCCCTTTGTATGGAAGCAATACGATTATGGAACTGGTGCAACCAGCCAAAATCATGATCATGGCAGTGTACCTCCCTGGCAAGGACAGTGTCACAGCCAATGCTCTTAGCAGGTATTTTATAGCACATCACGAATGGGAACTACACCCAGATGTGCTCAGTGCGCTTTTCAATAGATCGCTTCGCCACACATTGCAATGCAAAGTGCCCTCAATTTTGCTCAAGGGCGGGATCCAGGGGAGATGCTCTCCTATTCAGCTGGAGTAGTCACCTTCTGTACTCCTTTCCTCCCACTCCTCTCATTCCCAAAGTTCTGGAAAAGATAGCCACAGATGGGGCCAGAGTAATTTTGGTGGCACCATTCTGGCCATGTCAGATGTGGTTCCC